CATCCAGAAAAAGAATCCCTCCCTTATGCACCCCACTCAAAATGAATGATGTCTGTGTCCCTGAGAGCTTCAGGAATTGTGGCACTAACCGATTGTCATTACATGCCTTCTTGGTGCTCTGAATGGAGAGTGGTATAGAGTCCCTACCTTCATGCTCTTTTCCTTCCCTGGAGTTACTTTATTATCCTTACCATTTATATTAGCAGAACTAAAATGATGGGTAAGTAGTTTGCTTGAAATAGAAAGCTCATACCCACATCAAAGTAGTTTCTCAGACATGAAAGTAAGAGAGGCAACAGTGAAACCAACAGAGAGTTCTAAAACAGATAACCAAGTGTAACTATGTCATAGGGTCTTAAGAGAAGAGTTCTGTACGCTGCTTCACCCAGCTCATTTTTACTAAAATGTTTTTACTTCTCTTTGACCAATTAGTTCAACTTACAAGAAAGTCTCCTAAGGAAGTAATTGGAAATGACAGTAATACTTCCTGTTCATCACCACATTATTTTTAAGCACTGAAAAATTAGAAATCACTTCACTGTGAATCTTGATTTCCCTCCCAAGGTTTCTATACTGGATCTGTCAGTGTAATAAGAAAAATACTTGGGGGACCAGCAGTTGGCATAATGGCTTTGTCGCTGGACTCTCATGTAGTCAACTGCAGTTCGAGTCCCAGACCCGGTGGCTTAAACTCACACTGGGCACGTGTGCGTGCATGCCCAAGATCCTGAGAGGAGAATGGAAGAGAAGGGATTGTGGTGTGGCCATCCCCCCTGAGGATGATTTCTTGCTTTCTGTTTCTCTGTCTTTCTGGCGAGTGCACTTGCCCTATAGCAAAAACCTCTCGAAATAAATAAATAAATGATACTTGGAGATATATATCTATAGATTTTACATACCTAAGTAAATATTAGCATTAAACATTAGCAAACAAACAAATGCTTTTTGGCTGCAAAATACCTGCCAGGAATCCTTCTTTTGATTTTTGTTCTTGGTTCAAACCTATGAGAATCCAGTTCCACCCTTGCACACCATTTATACCCACCATGACCTTTTAAGTGACACTGTGGAGGGATGGGAAAGGTCACACAGACTGTTATTGCTTATACAGTGAGGGAAGGGGAAAGGGACTGGGTGAAAAGGATATAAGAAACTGGGGTCAGCAAGATGGCATAATGGTTGGGATGGCTAGATCCCACACACATGGCAGAGTGTGCAGTTCAAGTCTTAGACCCAATAGCTTGAACTCACACCAGACGTGTGTGCATTTGTGCCCAAAATCCTGAGAAGAGAATAGAGGGGAAGGAATTGCCACGTGACCATACCTTCTGGGGGAGAGGAGTGATTCCTCTTTGTCTCTTTCTCAGTTTTTCTCTCTCTTCAATGAGTGCATACACCCTATAGCATGTGTGCATGCGTGCGTGCATGAATAAATAAGTAAGAAAAAGAAAGAAATGAGATATGTACACATGTACACATGGGATTCATTAAAAGTCGCTGGTAATTTCAAGTGACCATGAATCTTCTTTTCATTCTTTTTGAAAAATTCAATGGTTGACTTTACCAATTCTTTTTTGCTAAACACTTTGGGATATCTAATGTATCTTCTCATTTTATTATTGTTCCAAGTTCTCCAAGTCTGTATTTTGTGTATCTCTTGATATTGTCATTCATCATTTCATTGTTTAATTTTCCTAAAATCCAAAGAAATTAAATTGTTTAAATGTCCTTTGCGGCTCAGATTTAATTTTCCTTCTTAGGTATCTAGAAATTCTGCCGTTTGTAATTTTTGCTTAATGGTGGCTTTTTCCATCAGTAAGAACACTAGCAGTCGATAAGTCAATTGCTGACTCTGACTATATGGAGGGTTTACCATAATGCATATTGGAAATGCCTTTGAAACCCTTTTCCTGAATGGAAGGTGCCATGGCTTGTGTTTTATGGCCTTCTAATGTTGGATGGTAATGTCATTTAACATTTTCCCAAAGTGAAAACAGTGCATTAGGGCGGCCTAGCAAGCATCGCAGATCAATACAGAGGCAGAGCTTTACTCTTACAGATTAATCCAGGAAAAATACACCAGAGTCAACTCCAGGAACTGGGAGACAATTATGCTGATTGCTACTCCTCTTCCCCCTTTCTACTGTCTCATCATCGACGCAGGTTGAAATGTACACAAAAAGAATTTCAGAAGCTGGCTACACATGCACATATACTCAGAACAGACTGCCAGACAGGAAATCGAGGGCCCTGGAAGTGAGTTGTATTGATTTGTGGTGAGAAAAGTATATTTTGACACATTTCAAATCATAAATAACTCATGAACTTCTAACGTCCATGACTAATAGCTCAACGCAGGGTGAACGCTTATATACAACTTAGATTAGGTATTTCTAAGGAGTCCATAGTTTTAGATGAATTATCCTATTGTGATTAGTCTCTTTTAAGAGAAAAAGAGCGTACAGTCTTTTCATGGTGTGCAGTATGTAGGTGCTCACATGGTATAGTCCCCTGTGTGTGTGAGTGAGGAAGAACCACCGATCTAGGCATCTCATTGTAGCCTTTCCTCTGCATTCTCCTCCCCACTTTTCGACCGAAGATTTGGGAGACTTGACCAGTTGCCAACACCAGGCTTGAAGGTAGTCCTTTCCTAGGAACTATTAAAGTCATTAGTCACGCGTTTGCCGGGCTCAGCTGATCCAATGCTTAATCATATTTTGTTCAATATTTATCCTGATGCCGGTCTTGCCATCATGAGTCAGTCAGTGTCTCTGCCTGTCCTGCTTCAAGCACAGCTGGCTCCTCTTAAATGCTTGTGTCGATGATAGAGCATCAGGGAAATCTGTGTCCGGAAAAATTCACAGACATCTGAACTTGAAAATCTTAGAAAGAAATTGAAACTCCTGGGATTTGATTTAAATTCTGATCTTAGCTATTTGACAAGGCAGTAAGGCAATGAATGATAAGGTAAAAACAATATTATGTAAAATCCGGGTTTATATTTCTTTTCCTGTATGTTTACTTTCTTCAGAGGGTGGTAGGAAGTAAATTCCCTCAGGGACCAGTAACATGGTTTGCATTTCTATTCTAGCAAAATATATATTAGCTTAGTGTGCTGGATAAAAGTAATGAGACAAATCGTCACCCAGGGGTTTCCTTATTGATGAGAAATATTCCCTGTTTTTCTCTTGGGGTTTCTATAGAACCCATTAAATTTAAAATAATGCTATTTCAAGATTACTATGGAAATAACAAATTTAAATTTCATAAAATGAACTGATAAGGAAGACTGGAAGCTTTTTATATTAACCCAAACTCATTTGAAAAAATATATGAATTCCTAGATTCAGTGTGATAATATTATGTATTGTGTGTGTGTGTGTGTCTGCCTGTGTGTGCATGTGTGTGCTTAATCCTTATAATCCAAGTTCTCCTACCATATTGACAATATTTTTTCATTTACATAATTCATTTGGTTTATTTTGTTATTATCATTTTTCAAGTGTATATCATAAGCTGTGTGGAAACATTTATGCTGTGTATAGCATATTCACTAAGAGCAATCTAACTGAAATCTGAGATTTGTAAGCATAATTAGCCAAATTTTAAGTCAGGGAATTTTAAAGTGTTTTCTTTCTATCCATTTGTATTCATTCAACAGATTAATTACATAACTTCTGAAAAGTGTATCTGTATCTAATGACTGATGTCATAAAGAAATAAGACATAGTCCTTGGAATTCTTATTCTAGTAAATGTCGGCTAGTAAGTGTTTACTAGGCTATAGTGCAGTGTGCGCAGTCCATGGCATCTAACTTGTACTAGGCTGGAGTGTGTAGTCAGTGTTACATGCATGGAAAGAAGTTATTATGGAATGGGGGAGTCACTGTAAAAGAGAATGATGAATTCTACTGGGGAGAAGAGATCTAGATTTAGTGAAAGCACTATGCAGAAGGTTACTCTTAAGCTAAGTATTAATTGGGGCATGGTGGTCAAGGTGCTAGATCTCACATGGCCAACTGTGCAGTTTGAGTCCCAGGCCTGGTGACTTAGAAAACTCACATGGCCAACTGTGCAGTTTGAGTCCTGGGCCTGGTGACTTAGAAAACACACTGGACACATGTTCATGAGTGCCCAAAGGCCTGAGAGAATGGAGTAGAAGGAATTGTGGTGTAGCTATCCGCCTTGGGTTGTGCTTTCTCTTTCTCTCTCTCTCTCTCTTTGGAAGCACACATGCCCTCTGGAAAATTTTAAAAAAAGAAAAAGATGAATCCATTTTTCCCACATGTCTAGGAGTGAGTTAGGGTGCAGAGCATTTCCAAAATCAAGGTAGTGTGGCCAAGGTGTGAAGAGAAGTGTAAAACCCAAACCCTGAGCATGGTTTGTCCAGACTGCAACAGTGTGCACAGTGGAGAACTGTGCCTGTTGACCTTGTGTTTTATTTAGGAAGCAGCAGGGAATGGTTCTGTCTCAGATGTAAGTGTTAAACCCTCTGGAAACTAGAGAAGTATGAAGGCAGGAGTAGAAGGTGAAAGCTAAGAGACAGAGGAACTAGCTATTGCTTGAGTCAGGACATAAATAATTGGGGATTAATGGAATGACAGGGAGTTTGGGGAGAGAACCAGACTGCAGGGATCTTATACTTTGTGATCAGTCAGATGTGGGAATGAAAGAGACTTTAGGGCTCCCAGGTTTCTGGCTGGACAAGCTGAAGTGTGCTGGCAGTATTCATAGGGTTAGGGTTTAGGAAGGAAGGTTATAGTCCAGAATAACTCAGTGGTGTCCAGTAATGGAACTCATTTCAAAGAATTCATTTCCCTTATACATTTTTGTCATGGGAATAATTTGAATATCTTTAAAGTTTGAAGAAAATTGGTTCTTTAACCTTGTGTTTATATTTGCAACATTTTTATCTTACTTAGAATTTTCTGTGTTATTTAACCCTGATCTTTGTTTTGAATGAAGACCTTTTGTCTAAGCAGTCCCTGTGTTTGTTTGCAGGCGGTATGAGGTTCACCCAGTCTGTGCTGATCTACAGGCCAAAATTCTCCAGTGCTACCGTCAGAACACCCATCAGACGCTCAGCTGCTCTGCTCTGGCCAACCAGTACCTGCACTGTGTCAATCATGCCAAACAGGTGGGTGTGCCAGCCAGGCCGCTTCAGGCAGGAGCAGAATAGAAAACCCAGCGTCATGGAGTAGTGGGAAGGATTCAGTGGGCTAATATGTGTGAAGAAGCTTTATCAGTCATCATCAACAAGAATTGTTATCCTGGGGACCAGCAGATGGCATAATGGTCACGTTGTTGGACTCCTACACAGTCGACTGTGGTTTGAGTCCTAGACCCAGCAGCTTAAAACACATTCGTGTGTGCCCAAGATCCCGAAAGGAGAAGGGATTACAGCATGGCTAAGCCCCCCTGGGGAGTGATTTCTCTCTTTCTGTCTTCCTGGTGAGCACACATGTCCTATAGCAAAACTCTCTTAAAAACAAAAAGAATGACCACCCTGGGGCCAGCTCAGGGAGTAGATCCCACATGACCATCCACATGGTTTGAGTCTGGGACCTGGCAGCTTAAAAAACATGCTGGGCATGTGTGCACACATGTCCAATATCTCGAGCGGACGGGGAGATGAAAGGGAAAGGGATTCTAGCGTGACCATCGTGTTACTACTCCAGGCTGATGCAGTCATTATTCCTTCGAAGTCGTTCTAAGAGGAGCTTGTGTTCTCCTTATCTTCTATTCATTTACTTATTGTGAAAAAAAGGAAAAGATCTTATTCAAAGTGTACCTTTTTTTCCCACATGCCCCAATCTTTTGTTTTCTGATAACTGTGTCCCAAAGGTCATGGCCTACTGCTTCTAGGCCAATACTCAGAGTCAGCAAAGAGGAAGGATACTCACGAGGGGATTGGTAGCTTCCAGGCTATAAGCAGCAGGTGGTCTGCAACGAGCCTGGGTTAAACACACTGCACCCAACCATTCTGTCTTCCTCCACTTGGTAGAGTCTGCTCGGCTAGGTAGGGCAAGAGGGATCAGAGACAGGATGTAGGAGCAAGTGCTTTTTGCTTTTATATACTGTAGTCATGTTCTTCTCTTGACCTTTCATGTCAGAATAACGTGATGTTCACAGGACATGGATTGTTCTCTAATTTACGTACTTTAGAAAGCTAATGATAAACCCTGAAGCAAATTATCAATTCTGTCAGGTCACCTAATTGCCTATCATTTAGCCGATTTAGCGGTTGGATGTAGGTTGTTCGAAAGATGGAAATTGTTAGAAACCTTGATTCTTTCTACTGACACACTCCCTAGAGTTGACCTTCTAACTCAACCAAATCTAGCATTGGAGTTACACAGCATGCCTTTCCACAGCCTAATTTGCAGTAGTTGTAATATTAATAATACCACTTAGTTTAAATTTCTATCGCACTATAAATATCTGATGGGATGGTTGGTATTGTCTCACTAGCTGGAAAATAAGTCACACCAGTGGGGAAATAATCAAGATTTATTAAAAGCCCTGTGACTTGCAGATTTTTTCTGCCTATTCCTTGTTATACAAGCCACACTTGTATAACTCCTCGTAGCATATCAGGCATTCTCTTCTTCAAAGGTCTCTGGTAAAGATAATGTAACTAATGGGGGTCCAGCAGTTAGTGTAATGGCTATGTTGCTGGACTCCCATGTAGTCGACCACGGTTCGCGTCCCAGACCCGGTGGCTTGAAACTCACACTGGGCGCGTGTGCATGCGTGCCCAAGATCCCAAAAGGAGAACAGAGGAGAAGGGATTGCGGCATGGCCATCATCCCTGAGGGGCGATTTCTCGCTTTCTGTCTCTCTGTCTCTCTGATTGTCTGGTGAGCGCACGCGCCCTATAGCAAAAAACCTCTCCCCCATCCCCCAAAAAAAAGAGAAAAGATAATGTAACTAATGTTAAGTTAGTACATTTTAGTTGTCAGAAATAGCTTCTGACATTCTCCTAACAAGCCCCAACCTTCAATATTAATACTCCCTGAAATGCTTGGGACCTGTAAGTTGGCTCCTGGGCTTTTCTAACGTGGTAATAGTGCCTTGTTGAGGTGGGGCTCAGTGGTCCGTTAAAGAATGACTGTGGCAGTGTGTCTGTTTCGAGGCTGGTGTCTGACATACCTGCCTATTTCTGCAGTGTGATTTGTAATGTTACTGCAGTAACTGCAAGGGCATTTGGAGTGTTGACTCCATTCTCCAAGTTGTATTAAATCACCTACATATAGCTCCATGAGTTTGGTGACATATATTTGTAGAATAAAACAAAGTTTACCTTGCATCAAAATCCAATGCATCACATAGTACTATAGTTAGAATCTGGCTGATCTGCGTGTATATCCACGCCCTGTCTTTTACTAGCTGTGTGACTTTGAGCCTTAATTTTTCCTATCTGGAAATTGAGAAAAATTGGGGTATTGTCTGAGGATTGCATTTTAATAAAGTATTTAGTAAATCTTTTTTCCCTCTTCTTTCCTCAGTTGTATCATTTCATGCTAGAACTTTGTAGATCAGCCCAAAGCATCAAATTATTACTAGCAATTCCAAAAGAGACCCTCCTTCCTCCCCCTCACTCCCTAATCTGCAATAGTATAATTTAATATTACTTTCAGCTAGTATGTTCGGGGTACTTACTGTTTTCTCAACTCTTATATTCAGTTTTAAGGGATGTATAATACCAGGACTTTTAAAATATCTAAGTGCCCAAACCTTTTCCTCCTAAATTGGGCAACATCAAAATGGGCAAGAACCAAGAACGACACCTTCAATTTCTGCAGTGCTTGGGATTTCAAAGTCATTTCACTTCGGCTCTCTTACTTGTATTTTATGACAGCCTGACATGTAAATAGAGGTTTTTATTTTTGCCATTTTACAGCTGAGAGCATTGAAACCCAGGGAGGTCATGCTGGTAAATTTAACAAGTAAACCAAGATGGGTCTTGCCTAAAAACAAAAAAATTCTAAATAAATGAAGTGGAGTTTGGTTTTCGAGTGAGTATGAAGAGACAGCCATCACCCACTAATACGGAAGGGAAGTAATGAAGGAAAATGAGAACAATAATGATAGTGAGGGAAAGGGACATCAAAGATCTACGGAAGTTGTGATAAGAGAGTCTGAAGGTCGCAGTAGGGGAGTGGGATGCTAGAGCCCATGAGCCAGGGGACAACTTGGCATGGCCCCATGCTAAGATCATGCCACAGTGGCCAGGAGGCTGATCTCGTTTTTCATGAGTAGTTACTTCTCTTCTGATACCAGGTGGTTCTTTCGTGCCTGTGAGGTCAGGCTAACCTCCTGACCCCAACTTTGCCCGTATTGTAGAAGACTTGAGCAGTATTCATGGTCCTGACTGCCTGTCATAGCCATTTCCTAATGGGCCAACTCCCGTCTTATGTTTTCTATTAAATCCGGAAAACAGGCCGGACATGCTAAACATGGCAAATACTAAACATGTCAACAATCCATTAGGATGCATTGTCCATTTCCGACATAGTACAAACCTTTCCCCCACGGAGTAATTCTAGTGGCCAAATCTACTCCACTTTTAAATGACTCATAAGGTTGGGCTTTCACTAGTTCCCTCGGGGATTGTTCTGGAGACTAATAGATTTTACTGATAGGAGAAATTACCGGATATTCTTCAGCCTTACTCTTCCTTTCTTCTTATCCATCTTATTCATATCAATCTTTCTTCAGCTGTTCTTAAACAATTTCGCATGTGTTGACATGAGACATTAAGACCGTTATTTCGTTATGCGTTCTTATAGGGGAAGAGAGATATTAAATTGCTATAATTATTATTTCCAAGACTTAAAAGCTACCAGCTAGATATATGAGATACGACACCTAAAAAATGAAGAATATCGATTGATACAGACTGCTGTCTTTTACTTTTCTTTTTTAAAAGAATTATTTTATTTATCATTATTACTATTTTCTTTTAATTTGCTACAGGGCACATGTGCTAGAGAGAGAGAGAGAGAGAGAGAGAGAGAGAGAGAGAGAGGAAGGAAGCCGCCAGGTCCAGGACTCAAACTGCGGTTGGCCATGTGGAGTCCATTGCCTTAACCACCAAACCACCCGCTGGCCCCATCTTTTACTTTTTATATCTGCTTAGCTTCCTAAATCGCTAAGCTCCCCAAGATTGGGTTCCCTCCTTTGGCCTTTAAAACCTGATTCCATTCAGTCTTACCATACCCATCTCAGAGCTGACCATGGAAAGGAGGAGAATGGGAAGCCAATAGTATTTTCCCACTATTGGACCAAAATGTATCCAGGTTCTGTATTTTTTTTCTTCTTCTTCTTCTTTTTTTTTTTTGGATATTTTGCTATAGGACACGTGCACACTCCAGAAAGACAGAGGGACAGAAAGTGAGAAATCACCCTCCAGGGGAGATGGCCACGCCGCAATCCCTTCTTCTCCATTCTCCTCTTGGGATCTTGGGCACGCACACACATGCACCCAGCGTGAGTTTAAGCCACCAAGTCTGGGACTCGAACTGCAGTCAACTACATGGGAGTCCAGCAACATAGCCATTACGCCAATTGCTGGTCCCAAGGTTCTGTATTTTCTCTGACTTCGTGTGCATGCGCACTCTCCACGGGGTCTTATCACACTGTGATCTTCTTTTCCCTAACCCTTCTGCTCCTCAGGATCTTGAGTGCTCTCATTGTGTTTTCAGGCTCACCCCGGATCTGAACCTGACTGTAACTTCTAGCCCTGTGGTCCAGTATGCTACAGACTATGCCACCTGGCTGGGCCCTGAATTCTATTTTTTTTTTTTTTTTTTTTTGGAGAGGTTTTTTGCTATAAGGCTCATGCGCTTGCCAGGCAGACAGAGAGCAGAGAGACAGAAGAATAGAAGACCCATAGAGATCATGTAATTCAATGTCATCTTTTCACTTGCAAAACTACCACTCATAGAGTTGAAGTGATCTGTAGCTGGGGCAGAGATGTCACTCTTGATCACCCCCCAGGGGGGATGGCCACGCCGCAATCCCTTCTCCTCCGTTCTCCTCTTGGGATCTTGGGCACGCACGCACACGTGCCCGGTGTGAGTTTTAAGCCACCGGGTTCAGGACGCGAACTGCAGTCGACTACATGAGAGTCCA